CAATATTGGCATCTGCATTCAAGATGGATCCATTCTGCTTTAAATCTTTTCTAAAAGCCACTGCACACTTCTGACATGCTCCACTGAGTGTGTCAGAGGAAAGGCCTGAGTAACATTAAACTTGGAAAATAAAACACAGCAACTCCCACCTTTCAATATTGAGTGGGGGCTGAACATACTGAGAGCAGCCTTGCTGAGAAAGACTTGAGAGGCTGGACACGACCTGGCTGTGTGCACTGGCAGAAAGCCAGCCTTGTCCTGGGCTGCACCCAAAACAACAAGCAGGGGGAATTCTGCCCCTCTGCTCTGCTCTCCTGAGACCCCACCTGCAGTGCTGCATCCAGCTCTGAGGTCCCAGCACAGGAAGGACATCAGCTTCTTGGAGAGAGCTCAGAGGAGGCCACCAAGATTATTAGAGGGATGGAGCATCTCTCCAAGTGAGGAAAAGCTAAAAAAACCTCAGTTGTTTACTCTAGAAAAAAGAAGGCTTTGGAGCGATCTAATTGTGAACTTCCAGTATCTGAAAGGAGCCTGTGAAAAAGATGGAGAGAGACTTTATTATTAAGGGCATGTAATGACAGGTCTGCATATTTCGGAAAGTTACTATTGCCTTTAGAAACCAATTTGTACTGGGAACAACACATAAAAGCCTCTGGCTCATTTTGGGGACCTGTGTGCCAAACCAGACATGTCTGTCACACATTTGCAGATGACCTACTTGAAACACTGGGGCTGCATTCTTGTGCCAGCAGTTTTTGCACATGCAGGATGAAGACTGCCACTCAGTGACTGGGGTAGCATTCACACAGGATCTTTTAAAGTGCCCCCTCCCTCTCTGCTCCTGTACACGCAGAGTACCCTCAGCCCTGAGCCTGCCACTGGTGCCCACCAGGTCACACCTGACTCTGCCTCGCAGGGCTCAGCTTTTGGCAGCACGCTGGGCTCTGGAGATTGATTTTGTCAGCAATGTGGCCATGTGCCAGCCCAGCTGGGGCCCTGAAGGCTCTGCCCAGGAGCCAGGCTCTGCCTGCTGCGGGAGAGCCGGGACAGGCTGCAGAGCTTAGCGGGAGAAGAACAGCGCGACGGGAATAAGCAGAGATGAATGCACATGACAAGAGACTCTAAATGCAGAACTAAAATAGACAGCAGAAATTGCTATAGCCTAAAATGTCATCGTTACTCCCAGCCAGGCAGCTCTAACAGCAAAAAGGATTCAGACAAAAGATAAAATCAACTGAAACTAGGGAAAAGCAACCAGAAAGGCCCACCAAAAGCTAGCAAGCATTACAAGATCGCTTGGGAGCCTATTGGTGCCATTTTTAGGTAGTCATTGGCTGAAAACAACAGAGAAAGAAGAGGTGCAGTGTCTCTGGAGCACAGATGTGGCTCAGCCTGCCTAAGCCTCGGGTGCTGCAGTGCTGGCCAGCCAGCCCAGGCACACCGCAGTGGCCACAGCCACAGGACATCATGTCACTCGTCACCACAGGCTGCTGCAATATCGAGACATCCGCCTCCCAAGGCAAACAAACCTCAAAGAACCATGGGGAACCATAGCAGCATCTCCACTTTGGTATTAAATAGGAAAATTCTGTATCGAAAAGCCTCAGGACATCGTGTCACTCGTCACCACAGGCTGCTGCAGCATCGCGACATCCGCCTCCCAAGGCAAACAAACCTCACACAACCATGGGGAACCATAGCAGCATCTCCACTTTGGTATTAAATAGAAAAATTCTGTATGGAAAAGCCTCTCATTCACCAGAGCAATAAACCATGCAAGTTGCTGGGAAAAAAAAAAATCCCCAAACTCTAGTTCAAAGAAAAATCAGAAGTAATTCAGTTGTGAAGAGGAAGTATCAGTCATTTAATTTGCTGGTCCCAAACTAGGCCAAGTTAAGAGTTCAGAGCAATTCCTTCACTTTCAGACAAGAATTATTCCTGAAGGAGAATGTTTAATGCATACTGTGAAGTGTTTGATTTGTATCAGGAGGTTTAGGAATTTGGCTGCAGCAGTTTGCTGTGAGAAGACTTTGAACAGCACTAAAGAAAACGATCTCGGAGCCTTAAAGGAGCACTTTGCCCTTCCCTGAGAAGGTCCTTTAAAATGAAAAACTACTGCCTGATGATTGATTAAATGACCACTTAATTAGATAGGGGAGATCTACTGACAATATCTGGCAGCATTGGGAAAAAAAATGTGTGCCTTTAAGGAATTTGAAAAAATGGAATATCTTGTGTTTCCACAGTCCAACAGACACCATATCTGCAGCAGGAAATGCTGTAAGTGCAGCTTTAGGGAATAAGCTGTTTCAGACTACAATGAAATTCAAAATGCAGTTTGCCTTCACCTGTAATAATTAAATGAAAAATAGCCTTCAAATACATGCTCATATTAGTCTAGAATTCTAAAAAAAAAAAAAAAAGAAAAGAAAAGAAAAGAAAAGAAAGGAAAGGAAAAAATAGTACTACTGCATTAAAATTTCACATCCTATTTTCAATCCAAATTAAAGGGCCTGAATGCACTCTTCTGGCTTAGCATGCATAAGGGATAGGCTGTCTTATGCACTCTAAAAGCTCTCCAAATCTTCTCAGGTTAAGATTCAGGATTTCAACCTGCACTTCTATTCTTATCAGGATAAAATAGAAAGAAGAGCACAATTCTTTTCATAGAGTATCATTTGAAAAGAGAAAGAAAAAAGAAGGGAGGACAAAACCCCCAGTATTTTTAAAAGGTAGTAGTTAAAAACCCAAACAAAGCCTAACTATAAAACAATCTTTGGACTTTCCTACTCCCAAATTATATAATATACATGCTGTAGAATTAGTTATATGCATTACCTTTCAAACAGCACCCAAAGCACTTCTTCAAGCATCAAAGCTTTCTTGATATCATCATATAAATGGCAAATTTCCTGAGTAAAAGGAATCAGCACTTTTGAAGTTATATGTACAATAGTGAGTGAGTGGGGAGCAAGAGAAAGTGTAGTGAGGAAATGCCAGCTCCAGCTGCTGCCTACTGAGCTATGAATTCACAGTGCTCCTGCAGCAGGGATGCCCAGGGTGGGAAGAGGTGAGTGCTCCATCACAAATAACCCAGCAGGGCATCACAGGAACAGCAGAGATGTGTCTTTCTAAAACACGAGTGGTCAGTCTGGAATGTGCTTCTTGAGCACACTGAGGGGCAGGGCCAGCTGCCTTGCAGCTCCAATTCTTTCAGCAGCCCAGGAGGACAGCCTGTCCCTGCAGAACAAGCTCAGATTGATCTGGGACATGGCATCCTGAGCTCTTAGGGAGCTCTTGGAGTAACTCTCCATACTCTCTCCTCGAGTGGTTTTGCCAACTCAGTTGCTGCTCTGGGTAGTTCAGTGCAGCAGAATGAATGTCCCCCCAGCCTGAACCACAGAGCAGTTTTCTGACTTGAATCAGGCTTCTAACCAGACCTTCTCTTCTAACTGAAAGTAACAAATTCCATGCAGTATTCTATACTGAAAATTAATGTGAAACAAAACGAAACAAAAGAAACTCCAAAAAAACTTCTGTGAAAGTAAGTTTCATAATTTCTGGGGGGTTTTTTTGTTTGTTTGTTTGTTTTTTTGTTTTTTTTTAAGGCACTGCTTTTTTTAAAAAAAAGACATCTTAATGATTGCCCAACCGTTTAAAATTTTCATCACCTCCTGAAAAAAGTCCTCATGACATGCTTAGTTCCATTTGGCAAAATGGAAGTGCAGAAGAAAAGAGACCTCATTAAATGCACCCCTTGGTTTAGGCAGATGGGAGTGTGCTCAATAGCATTTCAGTCCTGATCTCACTTGTTCCTGCAGAACAGATGCAATATGTAATTTACCATAGATGATGACATTTGAGACAATTCAAAAATCACTGATAAGATGAAATTATATCAAGCTAGATACAGCCATCTGCTAGGATTTCAAGGATTCACCTGACACTCACTTTTCTCATTATTTGAGCTTCAGGATACAGAGGATTTCCTACATAGACATTTGAGAAAGTGGCACGTAAAACCATTTCTCAGGGATCCACAGATGTGTTTTGTTCCATTGCTGGAAGAGACCTAGAGCCATTTTACAAGTCTAAAGACACGAAAATGCCTTTTGTGGTTAGGGAAATCTACCATGCTATTTATGACTCCTACTAGAACAGTGTGAGAAAATCCTCCAGGAACTTCTGCAGTGTGAGTGTCTCTATTCTGAATAAGGCCATCTGCATCCTTTGTCCTTGCTATGGTTTATTGTCAATAGGCAAAACAAGGAGGGCTACAAATGACACGACTCAGAGTGTATTACACATGAAAGTCTAAGAGATGACTAATTCTATGCACAGAATGTTGTATTCTCCTTTGTGGGTATTGCAAGCTTCACTCAGAGAGGCAGCCCTGAGCATGAAGGGGCCCCTGCCTGAAACACCAAACTGATAAGAATTGGCTTGTGACACAAAATTTTCAAATTTTAAAAATGTTCCACAGGAGCACAATAAAAATTTAAGTAGCAAAAACATGGAGCTGCTGGCTGAAAAATCTGTGAACAATTTTTTTTCCCTGCTACACCCTCCTTTGCACTCAGCAGCCTCCAGCACAGAGGATTCAGCAGATTGCCAGGATTGCAGCAAGGCCTGCATAGTTCATTATTTCACCAATGTAACTTGCAGTACAAAAATACAGAATACACTTTAAAATGATATATTATCAGTACTGAATGACCATGCCTAGTTTTCTGTATTTACACCTCTGCAAAGTAATAAAAAAATTGAACCTCTCAAAATAGATCATAGCTGCAAAATATTTTTCATGAGAGTTTTGTCTTTTCTCCTTATCAAAAGGTACAGGATGATGAATTTCCACATTCTCTAGTTAGCTTTTGTGTGCAAAATGTATCTGACTCTAGAGCTATCAAACAGAAAAAGATAACAAGATGCAATGGCTGGAAAGTAGTGCTGGAAGCAGTTAGCTATACTAAGGATTTTTTTTTTTTTTTTTTTTTTTGCCTAGGAGGTAATGGAATTATCAACTGTAATTACTCACCAATTGGTTGCAGTCTTTTCAACAGAGAATTTACATTTCTCTAAAACTCTTTGCTGTCTCCAGTGAGTTTAATGTGTAACTGGATGAAAAAAACACAACTGTCAATTGCAGGCTTTGCAATGGGTCATCAGAAACTTATGTTTTCTGGAAAAATTGTTAAGGTGTGCTGAAGTGTACTTACACTGTCAATAGAGATGAAGGCTGATATGCATAATTTTACCCCTCTGCTAAATTTCTTAGGTAACTTCAGTGAAAGCAGAGCTACTGTCCTTGTGCAGCCCCTCTGCACACGCTGTCACACTGAGGGATGGAACACAAATCCAAGAGCTGCTAGCAGAAGCACTCCAGCCCATTTGTTCCTTCAGGAATGAAACAAACTGTTTTTAAAACACAGCTTTAACTTCATCATAGCTAATGAATATTTACATTGCTCAATTTGAATTTTGCTTCAGTTCAGCACATATTAAAACCACTACATTCACAGATTGAAAATCCAGAGTCCTTATTATATAAAACATCCATGGCAACATCTCAATTCTGACTTTCATTACAGGGAGCAAACAAATACTAAATGAAACGAATTTCTTTATATGAGGTCTCAGTTTCAGACCTGATAACAATTAGAAGCTTGTGTACACTCTATCAGTTTTACCCAACATATTTTTTGATGTGAAGATGACTGACATCATTCAGCATGATCTGGCCTCAAAGACAAGCAGTCTGAAATACCAGGAAGCTAAAATGTTGTGATTAATTTTCACATGAAAGCAATTTGAATTGCAATCTCTATATAGATTCAGTAGTCTTTGGTGTTGATAGATGGTGCTAAATAAATGCCATAATTCCGGAGCCTTCAAGACCTTCAAATGCTTCATTAAATGACCAGGAAAACCAGAAAGTACAAGATTCTCTTACAGCTGCAATCCCACACTATCATTTATTACTCTAATGCTGCATGAATGCAGAAAGCATCAGCCTAACTCTGGCTTGGTTTTGAACCATTGGTGCAGGGAGTACCTTGTACACGCCCATAACTCAAACAACCAACCCACTCCTTGATTAATCTTGGCACACAGAGAAATTCCCCATTTCACAGTACTTCAGTCTACTTCAGTGCTTTTTCAAGTCTACGGTGAAAAATGTCTTAACATCATGCACAACATCACTGCATTTTCATACCTTTCATACTGTAAGAATATTCAATACTACTACTGTCTTATTACTTTTAGAATGAGTCCTCTAAAAACTTATAAATGAGCGCTTGAAGAATTCTCATCTGCCCCTTTAATTACATCTCCAAGATAAAAAGGCTGCCTGTGTATACATACATTTTGCAATACTGTTATATAAATATTTAAGTAGTTGCTGAAATTCAAAGATGCTTGCAACTACCTCAGTCCATAGCTTTAGAGACAAACAGTTAGGAACAGCAACTTCACACTTTTTAGAAACATTCTGGATAGTAACAGGCTCTCTCACAGTTTGGGTATGCAACTTGGACTTCAGTCTTCACTGAGTAGTAAAAGCATTTTAAAATGTCAGATTCTAATGAAAAATTAAAACACACCTTCCTGTGTTCAGACATATTCAGTTCTTGGCAGATGTCACAAGATTAAGCAGACTGGATAGTAGTTAAATTTAAAAAATTGCAACACTTGCCCTTAGCTTAGTGTTTTTTCTAAACATCGCCTGTGCAGCCTATGAGTAAAGGAAAACATTAAAGGCTATGTCACAACATTAGCAAGCCCAACAGCAAGGCTTGTGACAGAACTACCAAATTCAAACTTCTCTAGAAGCAGATAATGGATTTAGTTCAGGGCATCTCTCATCCAATTTTAAAATCTAAATTATAGTTTTCAAATACTTAACTAGGACAGTATGCTGAAAGTTGCAGACATATGATAATTCTTTAATTTAAAAGTACTGTACTGACTAGGAGTAGAAGTGTTAATGACTTGATAGAAGCAGGCTCTCAGTATCAGCAGGACTGCCTAGCACTAAAGGAAGTTGTTATAGGCTGTTTAAGTTACAGTTGAAATAACTGTAGCTTATGTTGTACAAAGCATTTTCTAAAACCTCTGTTTTGATGGGAGTCTAATACTGAGTATATATAGCGACATATACTTAGTTCCTTGCATCTTACCTTTATCTCTAGGGTTGCTACTTGAAACATGTAAAATTGGTCAGCAATTTCCAAATCAATAGAGTGGAAAAAGGGAGGTAGACTGCAGTTTGATTTTGCAGCATTCTTTCCATTCCTCTAAGAATTACATGGCACAAAGCATGTGTGTATGAGACATTCCCTTCTCTCACTTACCCAGAACTTTTTTGCAGGCTTTTTCCTCAGCTGGGGCTGATCAGACGTCAATACAGCAACACATTTTATACTGGCCAAAGGTCTGGCTTTCAGCTTCTTCCCTGAAGCTTTCATGCATTGTTTTTCTCCTTTGGGTGGTTGCTACTCATAATCAAAATACATTTTTTAAAAATCTTTTTTTGTCTTTTTGAAAAAGTTTTACACCCTGTACCTATCCAGACATCTGTGCAATTCCACTCCCCTCAGGGCTGCTTAGCCCAAGGCAAGACATAAGCCTGAACAAAAAGTACAACTGCCTCAGGTACCAAGCCACAGGCAGAGCCAGAACAATCAGCCTTTACCTCCACTTTTGGAAGAGAGTAGAAGAGAAAGGACAAGACAAATGAGTTGCTGAGTACAGAATAAACTTCCCCAAAGCAGCAATTTCCTTCCCACCAGGTCCCAGCTGAACAGCATGGAAGGGGAGTGGAGAAGGCTCCAGAAGACAGGAGAGCTGACTCCAGCACAGCTTCTTGGCCCCTAAGAAGCAACAAAGCAAAACCCCCAGAGCAGCAGGGTCTGCCCATGCACTGGCAATCTCTGGTTAATGCACCTAAGCAGGAGGAGAAACAGCAGCTGATGGGATCCTGACTCCCTGCTGGCAGCTGGCCTAACAGAGAACATGGCTCTTAGGCTTAATCACTGCTCACACAACTAAGGGCTGCCTTCCAGACCTTGCATCCATAGCACAGCTGCTTCTCAGTTCACTTTCTTTTCTACAGATGTTTCCACAAAGACAGGCTGGAATTAGAATGAAGTGGTAGTGATCTTTCTTCCTGTTGCTTTTGACACCATTACCTGCCTGTTAATCTGCTTCCATGCTCAGTCTTCCAACACATCCCTTCCCAACACCAGACACTATAAACTGTGGTATCTGCACCAGCTGCTGAACACATGATTGGTGTTTTGGGTTCATTTCTGTCCTGAGGGTTTTAGTGTCATAATTAAGTTCAGCACAAGGTGATGGGAAAATAGTTTCCACACAACTAATCATGCTTTTCTGAACTGAAAAGAGCTGCAGGCACTCTAAATTAATTTCCTCACATCTCTTAGTCAAATCAGTTGACATCTGAATTGTTCCATGTACATTAGTCAACCGCATGTTGTCTGTCAATTTTTTTCTTCTTTTCCAAAAAGATAGTGCTATGTGTTTCTGCTGTCTGTGTTTAGCAATACATTGGATAAGCCTCAAAGCAACTTGAAATATGTTAGCTTAAAGCTAAGTATGAATTGCACTAGAATGAACCCTGGTTTATTCTGATCCCAAAACTTCCGATAGTAATGCAAATCTTCAAATTATTATCAAATCATTATAGTCATTGAAGAACAAAACTATTGCCCCAACTCATTCCAAGTACAAAGGCTCACTTGTAGCAGAACTGTGGCTCTCCTGTGCTTTCAGAGGAGTTCCTGGATCAATAGTAACTCAGGAGGCAGAAGAGACTCCTTGCTGGGAGTTTATTTGACATGGCCTCCAGCTATTGCATTTCATGGGCTGCACTAAGCCCTGCAACTTTGGTTGCTCTATTTGTAATACATCACAATGTTATCACTGCATTTTTGACTCACCCTGGAGCCTGACCGTATGTTTAGGACAGGATAACAGCCAGAGAAATTGTCTTCCCTGAATAGTTTAAATTCAAACATTTAAATTAATACATTATAGACCGAATTTACCAAATGCAGCATTTCTCAGTATTATCAAGCAACAAAACTCTGTTATAATTTTGTGCTGGTCATGTTCTTCCATTTTTGAGGAATAAGGGTAGTTACTCCTCTTGTAAGTGCTGCTCCTCAACATGAGGTAGGACATTTTAATTCTCCAGAGTATATCAGTGCAAGTTAGAATGGAGCATTTCAACAAAGCACATTTGTATCTAACAATCAGCAGAGAAATCACGCCAGGCACCTTCCCTACCCATTTATCAGTGCATGCAAAAATTCCTTTTTCAGGACAGATGAAGCAATTAATATTGAGAAAAAAATTCATCTGTATCCACTACATTTTAATAAATAAAATACACCAAAATATCATGGCAGGTGTGTGGCATTCTGACAACCTTTTTGTTGTATTTTTTTACCATTTATTTTTTCTGTTGAAATGTAAAGAGAGCCTTGGAAATCAAAACCGACAGTGATAATTTGTTCAGCCACAATCCTAAAGCTCCTTTTCATTTAATGACACGTGGCAGAAAAGCACATGCTGGACACAATGGCAGACACTTGAAGACACATGGCTGGCCCACCTCATTGCTTGAGCAGGGAGGAAAAGATCCCTGTTAAGCCTGGGTTGTTTCTTGCCTTAAAAAGCAGTGAGCCCAAGGGGGGTCAGCTTAGGCTCACAGCAAACAAATCCTCCAAGGGACAGACAAACTCAATACCATTTCCACAAAGCTACAATTCCCTGGGAGGCAGCTGTGAATATGTATAGGGCTCAGCAAGAAAGCTGCATGTGCCCATCACAGCATTCCATTGTGAGCTGAAGGGCTGGTGGGTCACACTTACACTGAGGCCTTTCAGCCTGGAGCTACTGGTTCAGATATTCCTGCCTTTTGGTAAGTGTTTGCTCAAATATTCCACCTTTTAAAGCGGGTGAGGGTTAACTGCCAGTAAGAATAAAAAGACTGTGCAGCTACAAAAGCCACCAATGCATCTATGTACCAGCCTAAGGAAGTTATACATTATAAGGAAGTTATACATCTGATCTAATTTCACATATTTTCAGTACATTAATATGGGTATTCTCAGTTCAGTCAGAGAGAAAGGAGAGTTTCTAACCAGGTTTATACATTAATTTATGAACAGAGTCATAACTATCTCTGAGCAAGGAGGAAATATATGTTTTTACTTGTGGTTTGGACTTACTAAAGAGCTTTTGTGGTGGCTGTGGGTGTCATAAAACAGCTACCCTATGTAAGGAAAACATGAAACTCTTCCTTCAGACACTGATGACCAAGTCATCAGTTATATCGTAATCTATAAACATTTATTAGTTTGTTTTATCCTGCACTCAAAGGCCTTATTTTGTTAGGCCATAAATAAAACTGTCATAACTGCTGGGAATCTTTTTGGTGACACGAAAGGGCCTTGGATTTATCCTTCTGTGAAAAAGTTTTAACTTACTAAAACAACATTGGTGGTATTCCAGGGGCTTCCAGGTGATGAAATCATGTTGTGTAGGTTCTTTCCCAGTCTCATATGAAACTATTTCATATGAACATAGTGGAAAATAACACATTTTCAATGAAGGTGATGTTCCTGTTGCCTCTACAAACTTTTAACCAGAGGTAGTCTGTAAAGTGAGGGAAGAGGTGAAAGAAGCAGATTTTCTTTTGATAGGTGAAACAGACAAACACTACTATTTTGCTTCATCAAGTGTGAATGCAAAGGACTTAGCTGTAGACTAAGTGCCATAAATATCACAAAGGAAGTAAATAAAATGAGATTTTTATCTTGAAATTACTTTCTATAACATTATTTTTAGAATTGCTTCCTGTAAGCATAAAAACCAACAGTAGGAGCAAAGATTAGCTCTATCCCCCTATAAATTTCAAAAGCTGCTTAAAAATCTTCTTGTGAATAGACACTGAGTGCTGAAATGAAATACTCTTTTTCTAGATGGGTGTTGTCAACTACATTCCCTGATTAAACAAATAGTTCTTCATCCCTTAACCAGCAAATTGCTACTCGGGGAAGAGCAATCACACTGTTAAGGCAGGTGAGGACAGCCCCCATTTCCTTGGTGTTCTCCTGGGATGGTGTCGTGCTCCCAGTGTGTCCAGAAGTAGCACTTCATGTAGAAGAGCCTGGTGCTGCTGCCTGTCTGCACAATGCCCAACAGAACTACAGCCCCAGGGTGTGCAGGAGTCAGGGATGACAGG